TAAGTAGGCTATATAAGTTACAGTACTGTCTTGATTTATCATGAAGTGAGCACATCTCCCTCATATAGCGGTATTCCACGAGTGTTTCAGTTGCCAATGGTCAGTGATGGCATGGACCGTTAAAAATACAACGACCGTTTACGAAAGGGAAATAGGAAATAGGCTTCGACGAGAGGCCAGAATGTTAAATGTTAGGGTGACAATTAAAAGGAGCTAGGGTTTAAATAACACGGCAAGTACAATAAGGCGCTGATGGACAAACTTGAAGAAGATTAAAACGGATTGCAAATGTGGGTTTTTTCAAAACTTGTTAGCCTAACAGATTTTCAAAAATCATCAGTTTTGTTGTTTGCAACTTTTGATATAACTTTTGACAAGAAGTTGTGATTTTGTCATTTACAAGTAATTTCTTCTCTAACGTTAAGTTTCATAGTGAAGAAGGAAGCGTAATTGGCAATATTAAAAAAAATGAAGTAGACAGGCGTGACACAGCCCATAAACCACGAGAGAAACATAAAGCAAATGTGCATAAGAATTTGATTACCGTAGCTATTAGTCATTCTATTATTCATCGTTCCCTCATCACACCATGTGACTTAGCCAGTGATGACGCGACTGAGAGAATCATGAAATAGTCGATCTCCCTAACATCTGAGGCTTATTTTCATGTTTTCCACCTTAAATTAAATAAGACAGTCAAAGTCTGGTATATATTTCTAGTCAAGGTGCCATTAACAAAAAACAAGAAGGATGATTTATTTCTCCCAAATCAGCAGTGTAAACTAAAGGATGTCAACCGCACCGTGACAGTGAGATTAGGAAAGGTAAGTACGTGGCTTTTTCAAGCATCATCAACGTGTCTCACACCAAATCTTAAACAGATAGGCTTTTGTCGTATTGAATTTAATAATGTAAGAGTACAACAATTAACTTAATGGAGGCTTTCATAATTTCGTTCAATTAATCGCAAAAACAAAAACGACAAAATAGGAAAATTGGATGGTTCGAATAATTTGAAAATCATGTTTCTTTTTTGACTAAATTAAATAATATTTCAGCAAATTATGGTTAACTTTTTGCCTCGCACTGAACAATACAATAAGAAGAAATGCTTAGAAGTGAAGACATACTCGTCGATGATTTCCCCATTTGAGGACATTATTCAGTAGCGCGGTTTTCTCCATTGAAAGTAAACATGCCAATACATGGACCCAATGCATAAATGACTGCTGGATTAATATTCTTTTGTTTAAATTAAAACTAACTTGACTAGCCTCGCCTGAGAAAGTGTATTCTTTTGAATTTTGTACTGAAGAACGAGGCTAGTCAGGCTAATTTTAATTTAAGCAAAAGAATATTAACTCAGCAGCCCTTTTGGCATTGGGTCTATAGATTTGCTTTTATGTTTGACAGGCATGAAAGTTTTCTTACAAGCTTACACAATAAAAGCATTGATTTTATGTCATCTTTAATTTAGGATATTTTCTTTTCAAGAGAGCTTTTGTTTAACATTAAAAATTATCATAGCAGCTATTTTTCGGAGGGAGAGAAGCGACGACCGGAAATGCGTCTGCGCTTCGCAGGCTAAAATTATCATCGACTAATTCAAAAACTAATTCAAGTTACTTTTTCTAATCGCATCGCACTGCCATTTCGTTCACTCCGTCATCGATGAAATTCCTCTGGTTAAGATATTACCCCCCTGCGAGTAGAGCCTCCTTTCGTCTCCTTGATCGAGTAGGAAAAGCGAGCAAGCGCGAAAAGAAAGGGTGATCTGCTGGCTGTGGCACGAAATTTTTACGGATTGGCGATGTTTTTGTGTTCGGGAACTAATTTTTGCGATTAGGACACAATGGTTTTTCTTGTAGAGAATTGATTTTTGTGATATTCAGCAAGTGCTCAGTACCCAGCATTGATAATATTTTCGTTTTTATTGAGTACGTACAATAGAAATACATATTTTCAAACAATAAACCAGTATCTCGTTCCACACCGTTTTGTTTCTGAATGACAGAGACAAGTTGTGATTGAACAGACACGATTTCTTAGTATTGTATTTTTGTGTAGCGAATTTAAGTTAGAGAATACTTACTCTGGAGTAAATTTTTGCGGGAAAAATGTTTGCGGTAATTTATATTTGGGGGAACTGTTTTTGCGGATCGCTGGAAAAATCGCAAAAATTAGAACCCGCAAAAATCTCGTGCCACAATTGAACACGGTATATTACCAAAATCAAGGCGTCAAGACATTGATCATTGCTCCGTCTTTCTCTTAATAAGTTATCTAAGCTGATTTTATAACTTCTGAGTGGTGAATTATACAATGCAAAACGCAACTTTATATTTCTTTATTCTGATTTAAGTTCTATGTAACATGTCAACCGAGAGCCATTCCCGAAGAGGAAACGGGACCAATATTTGGGTACAGTTGTCACGATGAGCGTTTGAAAACCTGACTAAAGAATCATAGGCACAACAACCTTAATTTTATTATCCTGTTAACGATAAAGGAAAAAGATGCACGCCATTTTGTATACTTGGAGTATAAACAAACTTCATCTAGCAGATCAAGTCAATCATGCAGGAAATACCCTGTTGACAGACTTACCCGAAATTTATATACCCTTTTTAGGACAGACTCAGAGGAAATTATACTCTAATAAAGACACCCAGCAAAAATAATCTTGACCTTTTTACGATTCCTTCGCGAGAGAAAAGCAATTTGTTTCAGTCGTACGGCAAATAAAAGCCTAGTTTTATCGTGTCTCTAAGAGTTTCTGCGTTGCGAGCCGTGGTTGCGGTGCACGCTAACCGTATCGACCGCTTTCTTAAGAGAAAAGCCGCTAGATCTTCAGTATCTTCGTCTTTTCTTCTTCGTTTACATCTACAGCTAACATGGTCCTCGAATGCATAGCTTATATAATATGACTTTCTGTTTTCTTAGTGTTAACGTGCATGTATAGAGTTTCTTTGTTGGCGCAACTTATTGCAATTTGGCACGTCCGAAAAAAACGTCTTCTCTTAGGACTGAAGGCATTAGTGAACACACGCACGGACTTTTTTATTTGGATAAAAGAGTAGCCTGCATTGCAGCCGGCCCGTGCACTCGTCCAAACCATTTGTTTAGGGTCTGATGGAAAAACACCAAAAAACTCATTGTCCTTTTTTTGTGGTGCAGAAAAAACTGTTAGCTATAAGGGGCTTACTCTCTCATATACTCTGTGCTTGTTTTGTTTTATTTTTCATGGCTGGAGAGCTGCCCATAGCCTTTCTTCTTAACTTGAAATCCATGCCTAAACGAATTTCCCAAGACAAGACAAATGGGGAGCAAGGTAAGCTTTACAAACAATGTCAAATTAACCAATGATTTGAGTAAGTATTCTAATCGATCTTACAAAATTATTATTGTTACTAGCCTGTCCACAGATGTTGTTCTCTTCTAATTTTAAGTGCGTCGATCGAGTGTACGTGATAAAAAAACAAAAATCGCGGGGGGTTTATTTTGAAAAGAACGGAAAGAAAAGTAAAGACTGACAACGTCTGTGTCCAGGATAATATCTTGAGTTAAATATCTTTACATCGTTTCTTCTAGACATTTTCTTGTGCTATATTTCATATGTTTTATAGATATCGTACTTTATTTCTTATGTTTTATAAGAGTGTCAGTAATTATTTCAATTTTGTCAATTTTTGAAGCAATTGGAAAACAGATATTTTTCGAGAAAGTTTCGAAACGTTAACATTGACCTAGTGTAGAGTAACTTAACGTTAATTTTACACGAAAAAAGGGGAAGTTTACATCAGTTTCAAAACAAGAAATCTTGACATACCTTTAACAATAGATAATGGTAGACAAAATAAACAATAGAAGCAATAAATATTCGATTAGATTAGCCACGAAAATCATTCACTTATCAAGTGTATTGTGATGGATCAAGAGCCACTGCTGGTAATCAGACTAGGAGAGAAGCTTTGCCCTAAATTGGTAAGAAAACCAGCCTGAAGTCTTCGAGTTCACATTGTCCTTCGAAACTAATTATTTTTCCTTTGCAGGTTGAGAGATTTCTTTTTCCGAAGATGTTTGGATCGTGTCCGCTATTTTTCCTCTTGATAATTGGCCTTTTACTGGTAAGATTGTTATGTCAGTGCAGCCTCTCCCAAATTAAGACGATGTAGGCTTCCTCACGCGTAGTTTTAACGTAGTTTTCGATATTACAACCAAAAGTCAGATAATTCTTGTTCTAGTGTTAATTGTTACACCTGTAACCAAAAAACGGCTAAAGAAAACTTTGAACGGCATTAATTCAATTAAACGTATAGGGACAATTAGAGTAATGGGTTATTAATTATTCAGTATATGTTTATGCTTTGTAGATATCAATACCGTCACTACAAATATTTTCCTAAACTTTCCCCGTTCCTTTTTTTGTGTTATCTTTCTTCTAGCTTTTGCTTGTAGTCTTCCACAGATCCCTGTGTAATAATTTCAACACTAGTTCAGTCCCTTTCAAGCTCGGCGTTTAATGTGCTTCTGCCACGAAATTTGTTGCCCACTGACTTACAGATTTATCCGCAATTAATTTCGGTAGGGTGACGCAAGCCTGGATAACTCGTCGGTAAAACCTCGCAGCAAACGTGCCCTGTCATGGTATGGTAAATTTGGCCGAAACTCGTCTCTTAAAGACCTAGCTCTTGAGTTGGCAAAAAAGCATGTAAGTCTTAGCTGACGGCAGTACTTATTAGTACAACCGTCTGCACCTTTGTAATCACGTGTTTATGGCTTTTTATAATGTATAATGTCTGTGTACAATGTTTTTACGACGTCCTCAATAACCTGATTTCCATCTGCACAGGCCTTAGCTCTCTGTGTCCCGTAAACCCACTTTACCCGTTTAGCGATAAAATTATGAACTCTCGCAAAAAAAAGCTTCTGCTTTCTTCTTCTGAAACTTTGCTTCCACTTTTTCTCTTTTTTCAACGACTCATGATCAGTTGCTCAAGATGATTATTGACGCGGAGAATGACTTGGATAAAACCAGGGACAGTCTTTGCCCACAACAAGGAGGTTTGTTAAAACTCCATAACTGTCCTTTAATTTATTGTCTGTTAGAAAGAGAAGCCCTTCATCCTCTCTTGCTGATAGTTTAAATATATTTTGCCTTCCATTTCCGGGTTTCTGATGAGTACGTGGCAAGTTTCCTCTTTAATTAACTGCCATTTACAGGAAAAAAAAGATACGCTAAAAATTAAAGCAGCTGATTATGGACTTAACTTTACTTAACACAAGTTTGGGTTTTATGTCTACCTTATGGTCGTCGTACAGATTTGTTTCTATTTTGAAGTAAGATTGTTCATATCAATTAATCATTTTCCTTAAAACATCCCTAAAACATTAAGGGCCTTTTGCATTAAAAATTCAACAACACAAAGACCAGAACCTTGCAATATTATTTTCCGTCATATCTAACTTCCTTGACTTAAATTAGGGCAGTTTCGATAACTTGAGACTGTCAGTCTCCTCTTATTATGTTTTTGGTACTTTAGCATTTGCAGGCAGGTGTACCAATATCCGTGCGGTTGGTAAGCCTGTGACTCATCACACCCGCAAGTCCACACAAGGAGCCTGGATGAAAGATCCGCTCGGAATCATGGGTAGCGAAACTATATTCGTTATGGAGTCACATTACGGAAGAGACGTGCTTGAGTTTGAAAATATGGCCAAGTTAAAAGCAGGCATAACTCGGAAGACCTACAAACGTCCTTATCCGTGGGACGGAACAGGGGGAGTGGTTTATGGACAATATCTTTACTACAACAGGTTGGTAGTTGTTTCCCATGTGCCACTAGCTAATAAAAGGTGAAACTGTTTTTGGTAAAAGTCCTGTTGTGTTTTTTCCTTATATGCGAGCTCTCAGGCAGTCATAATTGGCTAGATCTGCATTTCTGCTATTCCCATTGGTCTTAAGTAGGTGCATTCTTTAGGTCCATCTATCAATCAAATATTCAAAAACCAGCAAAATTTTTCTAGCCACATCGTATATTTGAGTCTTAATTTAAATTATGTATATTTTTTCCTTGCCTTGGGTCATTCATTTCACATTTTAAAGAAAAAAACTACCCGATGTTCTTCGGTAACTATTCTGCTTTAGTCATGGGAGGTATTAACACAATTATGTAACTAAAATGGCCTCCTTTAAGTAAATCCAGGAAAACTTTATATTAAGCCACTTTTTGTTTCTCCTTGAAAGAGCTAATACAAACTACATTGTCAAGTTCAATCTGCGCTCAGGGAAAGAGGAGGCCCAAATAAGGATAAGCGATTACACACCAAGGAAAAACGCATATGCTTGGAATGGATACAGTGGAGTGGACTTGGCCGTTGATGAAAATGGATTGTGGGTATTATGGGGTAGTACTGGAAACAGCTATCGTCTTTATGCTTCTAAAGTCAATGTGCAAAAAAATTCCATAACCCACACTTGGAGGTTGGATACAGGTATGAGAACCATAAACAGATTTTCAAGGAAAACAAAGAGGCAGTTATTTGATAAACACTTGGCGTAAAAGGGTTTTGTTTACAAGTGGCTTATCTTTTAAGTAGAATTTTTTTTTCCTAGTAGATTAGGTTGTAAGCCTACTTGATATATGATTGTTAACAGCAAAAATAATGAGATCAGGGCTGGCAAAATTGAAAACTGCTTTGCTTAGAGAGCGGTTTTGTTTCATAATTCGTCGTATCAATAGCCCTCTTTTAAAACTTATTCCAACTTAGATCCATGTTAATACTGTGAGTTTCAAGTTATTCCTATATTCCTTTAGAAAAGATGAGGAATATGGGAAACGCGTTTGTGGCCTGTGGCGTGGTTTATTGTATCGACAGCTATAATTCAAAGTCCACAACCATCAACTTTGCTTACGACACCAAGACTGGAAAACAGTGGAACCCCAACATTCAGTTCACCAATCAGTACGGCTACAACTCCATGGTGGACTACAACCCCAGGGAAAAAGTGCTCTACGCCTGGGACAACAAGAATCTGGTCACTTATCCCATCACCTTTAACTAAAATTAGGTTCGTTATGTGATAAGCAGGTGATGGGTTTTAAAAAATGCTGATAATAAGTCTTCGTTATATGCCATATGAAATAGACGATGATAAGCTAAGTCATATAACAGCTCTCTTTAGCAAGCAAGTTTTTCCCCCTTTTATCACAAAACACAAAAGTACTGGCTGCAATAGCCCCGAGAACGACATGAATGTTTAACTCAACACGGTGACTCGTGTTTCATCACTGATTCTGAAACCCAACTATACCTGAAAAACCACGCTCCAGCTAATAATTCCCCACGGTATTAAGCTCATAGAAATACAAATAATGTTTTCACATTTGAGCTCATCTCTGTGAATTCTTTTTAAAGTTCTAGCTTGTTATGCCATAAGTGGAAAACTTTTTTTGCTGTCAGTCTTATGAAGTAAATTTCCCGCCAAAAACAGTTAAATCAAAAATCCAAAAACATACGATTGTTGGGAATACAAAGTTCTCTTATCATGCAAAGTCTCAGCTCAAACGGTTAAAAATTGAAAACTAGTTTAAAAGAGATCACTTTTTGATGACAGCTGACCCGCCAGAATTCAATTATAATTGATAATGTGATTGTTTCTTAACAGGCGAGTATAGTCTGAGGTTTTCCCAGAGATTACCTTTGGGCTTCAGCTATTCCCTGAGCTTCGGTAATTACCTTTTTTTTTTATTTTTTTCTATTGCTTGAAAATTGAAAGAGAGAATAGTAACTTAAAATAATAAACTCACTTGCTGTGAACTGGCCAACATTTGCACGAGAAAAGGTTTATTTGAATTGCTCTTAGCACTGAAATGTTTAAATAAAGGTAAAAAACCACATCACGGTCATTATTTTTGTGATATTTCATTGTGCGCAGACAACACTTGCTGATTTATTTTATGTAATCCTTTTATTATAATTTTAAACACCAGTGGCCATGTTTTTAAGAGTCCATTCTAAGTTCTAAGTTCTATGGAACGAAAATTCCATATTCAAAGTCTTTATCTCTTCAGTGAATACAAATATTTTTTTAATTTATATAGCTCTTTAGTTTCGAGATTCTCGTAAAATGCTCGTAATTGGGCTACCGTCATAAGATATCCAAGGTGCAACAAAAAAAGAACAATATTTGCAGCTAAGTTTTAGTGGGACATTTTTCCTATTGAAACCCAAAAAGTGATTTGAAGAAATAGGGTAAATAAGCATTATAGCTCAGTCTAGTAGGGACGCACCGCTTAGTGGTTCAGTCCACGGTGTTGCCAACCTCGTCCCCAGGGTGTGAGGCGACCCTGGGGACGAGGGTGCGGTTTGCTTCATATCTCTTACAAAGTTTGGAAAACAAGTTTAACAAAACAGTTAGGTTATCTCCTTATTCACAAATTCAACGTATTATCATTGAAGAAAATACAAAAGCCTTATCACCCTCGAAGCAACAAGTATTCTCCTTGAATGCGTGCCTGTGGCTCCTCTTCTTACCGTCAACGTTCTCTTGATTTGCTAGCTAGTTTGAAAATTCAATTTTTCTCTTTCATTAAGACGTCAAACAGATATTCAAAAATTCTGGTTTTCAAGTGTTCCGTCAATGTGCTATTCTCTTTCATCATAAACTATATATTTCACTAAATTCATACAAGGGTCTTACCATCCTGAAGGAGAGCCTGCGGGCTGCTAAAAGACTTCTTGAGAATGTGATGAAAACTTTTCCTTCGAATTCAGTGCGTGTCGGACATGAAAAGAGAATAAACAAGCTTTTACTGCAATCGGTGACAAAATTGGTTGCGACACTGCTCTAAAGGGGCTTTCTGACGTTTTACCGACCTCAAATGAAAGAGGAAAATAAAGCTTTTCCTCCCCCATCCCCTCCATGCAATGTTGTGCCGCTGTTCGAGCTACCTAGAAATTAAAACAAGAAACACCCCAACTTTGAATGGAGCGGAGAATGGAGGGGTGTGGATTCTTTTGTTCTCTGAATTGATCCTATTTGAGTGCAACAACTTTGTCGCCGATTGTGGTCTGGTCTTTAATTTGCTCAAATGCCACAGACATATAGAATTTATTTCGCCTTTGAGTGAACCCTTAACTACCGACCATTTATATTTCAACAAATATTGTTTAAGGATTGTTGCAATTATGGCTACTGTCTATTTATTTAAGTGAGCTGCGTGAAATTTTCACCATTCGTGCAAATGGGCAGATTTTGTTGCGGTGCAAATTGGACACAAGATCAAAGAGAAAGAATTAAAGCCTTGTTTTAAAATGTTGGGAAAATCCTACACGATCGGGGATTTTACTTTTCGCCGACTGTCCCAGACTTTACATATATATTGGATACTCGCCACAAGACTGTCTCAGATTCTCCCGATATTGAATTTGGCGGGAAATGGAAAGTGCGTCAAAAACTGAAACTTGCGTGATAGGGGGACTGGAGCCCAGATATTTAGAGGATTAGTAAAGAGCGAAATCCATTGCCGACGTCCCCGACGGTACAAATCTGAGTTTTCATTTATCGGGAATGATCGCCAACCATCGCAGAAATCTTGGATGCATCTGGAAAATAGAGACGCTCCCGATTCTCCAGATTTGTCCCTGACCATCCCAAACGATCGGGGATATCTATGAGTCGAGTTTTTATAAGTCGCCAAAATCTGGGACGGTCGGGGTGAAGCAGTCAGTAAAATCGTCTAGGATTTTCCCGACATTCGAAAACTGTGCATAATCCTAAAGCCTGCTTTTCATATGTCGGGAAAAGCCCAGACGATCGGGGATTGGTTGGTACAGAGCTCGCAGAGTAAGACGCCATAACTGTAGACATCCATCTGTTTGAGAGAATTTGAGAGTTGCATTTACGTTAAACGTTATGGAAAGGGTTTGGGTTACCTGTTATTGATGTATCAGTTAAGAACGACAGTTTGCTTTTTTATGCACTTAAGCTTTTTAAAACTTTTTAAGGGTCGGTATGGTAGTGTGCCGGTAAGGGAGAGAGAGTAGGATACGAAAGGTCCCGGTCCGCCGGTGGCTTGCGATCTTCTTTCTTTTTTAATAGAACTCGACTTTCAATAACAGGTCAAAACTTTTCAGTGTCTTAAAATGGCAGCAACCCGTTTATGAAAGGGAAATTTGCCCCGCTGCCCCGACTTGAATGAGTAGCACCTGGAAATATCGGTGATAACATTACTTTTCTTAGTATCATGAATGAAACTGTCATTGCGCTTGATTAAAGTGGCTTCCCGCTGTACAGAAACTAATAACCAAGGAGATGAACTTCTTTTGTCCATATGTAATTTATATTCTTCCGACAAGAAACTGTTTTCCTTGTCCCTTGGGCTCTTTGTTGCGTTTGGGGCACGTGGTCGGAACTGGTTTGTGGCCGAAAGAACCTGGGTAGAAATCGTACACGTTAACCGGACTATAGACAAGTATTCATGCATAAAAACCCCTGCTACATTTTTTTTTCTGAAATGGTTTAAATGTGGGAATCACTGCTATTCAGCCTGTACTTGGGCTCACATTATTAGCTCCAGACTTGTTCCTGCTACACTAACACAGATAGCGCAGAACAGCAGCTGGAAGTGGTGCTGAGCGCGACGAAAAAACTGTTGAAGAAAAAAATCGGATAGTTTCATGATTTCACTTTATTTTTATTTTACTTTTTTCGTCGTGCTGCTCCACTTTCACTCCCTCTGCCACCCTCTTGTCTGAATACCTTGAACAGGTTATTTTACTTCCGAAAATTCTCGTACAAATAGTAAGCAGTAGACTGCGAGCGGCCTCTTATCGTCGTGGTTTGCAATCGCGCTGAGATAAGATTGAGACGGGTTTTAAGAGAAAACATAAGAAAAGGCAGACTGCAAGCAGTCAAGGGAAGCAGTCATAACGATTCCTTAGTTTTGGTTATTCTTGGTGGGGAAATCACTCAAAGTCACTTTCTTTCAAGTATCATCTCGATTATTCCAACTCGAACAATTTGTAAAATGCAGGGAGGTTTTTTCAAGACGGAATTCAGGCTCAAACAGTTAGAAAACAATGTTGTTGTGAGTTCAAATCCTTTACAAAACCTCGAGTTTGGAAATTTTAAGTCGCAGTGTGCAGTGACGGAAAGAAATGTACCAAAAAGTGGGATGCGCGTGCAGAGTTGTTGTTTCGAATATCAAACTTTTACAATTTCACTGTCGTAACATCTTAGATTCCCCATATTGTCCTTCATTGTACTAACATGTATCATGCAAAGAAATCCATCGGGTAGTCCTTCTAACTACTGGCGGCAAATTAACGGTTTTTCACTCCTAATAAACAAAGTGCTTTTTGTGAGGCAGGGTGGGGGGGGGGGAGGGGGAGAGAGAGATGGGGTGAAAGGGAGATCATATAATCTTACCTTTGGAGTCTGGCGTGAACTGCTTGCCTCCGGAGCAGAATAAAACGGATTCCCTGGATTTTCCGACATCTTGCTTCCCATGAATTCCGCTGATCCAAAATCACAGAGTTTGCCGCGCCACTTGTCTCCCTGGCGTCAAACCATTACGTTGCCGCTATTAACATCGCGGTGGAGTATGAGATCGGGTTGGAAGCAGTGAAGGTAATTGATGCCGTGAGCCACGTCTAGCGCGAGTATTCTGACGTATCTGTTACCTAAACTCCTCTCATTTTTCACAAGCTGCGAAAGTGACGTATCCGCAACAGTTCAGCGACCAAGAGTGGTGTGGTAGAGTGATAATCAGCTACAGCCAGGAGTTGTAAAATACAAGGATGTCGCACCAATGTGACGAAAGTAATCTCGCGGTCAAACAGCAGTCTGTTATGAGCCGACTGGATTATTTCTTGGATTTCCTTTACGGCTACTTTGGTGCCTCAGAGATAGATCTTCCTCTTATTCAATTGATTTTCTTATTTCCCGTTCCTACCTTTCATTAATCAGAAATTCTTTTAATAAACTAAAAGGACACGTTATCAGGAGATTTATTGTATGATGGTATATTGAGGTGACTTATGATAGAAACTTGCATTCAAATAACAACGGTTGGACAAATATTAATGTGCACAGCCTCATACATTACTCTTCATGACTCGTACTGATGCAGGAGCCAAGTAACTATATTAGGAGTTCTTGGCAGAAAATCTACCCATAATAAACGTATGCGACTGTTGGAAATATTAGTAGCAAAGCGATTTGCATTGAAACCAAGATCAAGTTCGTCCTCCAATACATTCTCATGCCATTATTTTACAATAATTCAGTTAATTTTTTATATGTCATACAATACTAACAAGAAGATTATTGAATTATTCTGTCATTTGCATAGTGTTTAGAGATCAGCATTCTATGATCAAACTCTACTGACGGGATATCCCGTTACTTAAACTCGCATGCCCAGTTTATGGTATATTGTACCACCGTTTAATTTTACTCAAGTAGATTAAGGCCTGGTTCTTTACAAATTCCTCAGAATTTTAAAGGGGGGTGGTCTAATGTAAAGTTTTTTAAAGATATTCCAGGTCTAATAAATTTAGGCTGATGATAACTATGAAATCTTCAACTTTCATTTTATAAATTGTTTATAACTGCATCACGTGACCAGCCACGCCCTGTTTTATCGAGAAATCCTTTGGGTCGAAATGCCCACTATGTAGAAAGCAAATCGTTTTCCTTTTGTCGATCCAAATAGTGGTTACTGATAGTCTTCTTGTAAAAACGTGTGGAATGAGACGAAGTCATTTAACGTCTTTCTCCTAACGAAAATTTTAGTAAGAGGAGGACTGGCACTAGTCAATGAACACCAATTGCACCTACAAATTGTAAAGATTCCAACCATTCCAGGCTGATTTCGCAGACACTTTGTAGGGTCAAAGTTTTGATACAGAGAAACTGGGGTTACACGTTTAGGAAGTGGTGGGCATCGTTAATTGCAATTTTTGAACAGAGGAGGGCGTGGTCGATCACGTGACGGGTTAATTTGGATTTTTTTCAAGTTTTTTTTAAGGTTAGTTTACTTTACCATCTGTTATTCCTGGAGGATGTCTTTAACAATAGTTTTTGGAAAATCTGCATAAAAATCCCAAATTACGTAGAACCAGGCCTTAATCTACTTGAGTAGTATTAGCCTGTTCCAGGCTCCGAGGTAGTCGGGTCCGCTAAATTGAGAAAGCGCAAACACGAAAATAAAACGGGAGGAAACTGGGAGACTTTTTCCTTTTTCCCACCCCGCCAACTTTCGCGTGCCTTTTTTTTTTTTTTTCGCGTCTTTCCCACTATCTGAGACCCTGGAACAGGCTACTTTAATATAAACGCCAATGGAATCAGTTTCCAATTGACTCCTTAATCCCAATTAGAAGGAATAGAGGGCTTAAAGATATATTTTGATAATAACATTTACATGGTATTTCTGACTTACAGCGTTTCCCATCCTCTAGTTGTAACGTGCAGTTCAACTTCAATCGACGCAAACAAGCTTACATAGGCCAAGATCCTTATACCAAGACTGGAAAGAACAAAATTTGATTGTCAACGGGATAACCAGGTTAGGTAAGAGATAAAGTACGTCAGAAAGAAGAGAAGTGTACATACCGTTATGAAATCACTAATAATTTTGAAATTATTCAGCTCTGTCTCAGTTTATTTGACAAAAACAAACCAACCTGTTCAAGTTTAAATTATGCATTGTACAAAACTCTTTTCGTGCCCAAATACACGCTACGTAATTTTAATGACTGGATGGCAACAATTGGTTATCAATATAATAGCAGTCAAGCGGTAAGTCACGAGATTTATGACTTGCACTTCTTTTCTTAATCTGGATTTTGCTCAAGTTTTCCGCCCGAGAAGCGCCAATTCCTGCTGCACGTTAGGTTCTACAAAAACATTTCAAAAAGAATCTCAATTTCTTTGACTTACTTTAAAGAACGCTCGCTCCGGCATCTCGCGTTACCCGAGAAATTACCATGCAGTTGTTTCGAGTTTGAAATTAAAGGATTAGTTTCTGGGATTTACCCAGGAGGACGGAATATTTCTTTATTTTACGTTTACCTACAATCACAGACAAAAGTAGTTTGGAAGGTTGTACAATTTAACAGTACTCTATTTTTATACTCAAAAAAGAGAATTTTTCCTTTTGCTAAATATCCCCCGTCCCCCCTATTCAATGTTGGGATATAACAGAACAATTATGCCCACAAACATTAACGTTTTGCTCAACATTGGGCCAGAGGCGGGGGAGGAAGGAAAAAAAAAAAGGTAAAAACAGCAACCTTCCCAACACTTTTGACGATGATTGTAGTATCAGGTTGTTTTACAGGCTCTTGCTTCAAGGATTTTGTTCTCGGTTTTGAAGTCCCTCGCGAACTGGCCAGGTTCAGGACAAGGGTTTTTTTAGAGGGCCAAACATTCTTGACGAAGGTGAAGAGGGTGGGGGAAGTTTGCAGGGGCATCACCAGCTAGCCTGTGTACAGACGCTCCCCCCCCCTCCCCTCAGAAAAAAAATGCGGGTTTTTTTCGAAGAGGGTGGGGGGGGGGTGTCTGTACCCACAGGCTAGAGCTATTCAGAGCCTGCGTCGCAGACAGCCTTATTCGACTGACAAGTCCAGCTGCAATGCGGGCAATTGGGCAAAACGGGCGCTCTCCATTTTCGGCTTCAAATTCTGGGGAAGCTAACTCAAGAAATTTTCCAGGTCAAGTGGAATATTTTTTTTTACGTTTGGAGCCTCGTTTTTGTTGCAGATTCATTATCAGATGAAAACTTTGCAACTTTGCGTTAAAATCATTTACTTTTTTTAAAAAAAGGTCGATTTACTGAAATCAAACGGGTTTTAGGTGCAGCGTTTTACTAGCAAAAAATATTTACAAAGCTTGAAAGGTGAAAGAAAACTTTGTAGCATTTTTCTACAGCCTGAAACAACCAAGAGAACAATACGAATAGCGGACAGTCTGATATCTAGTGTCTCTATAGGGGAATAGTCTGCTACACAGCCGTTTTTAGTGTCGTCACACAACGCTCCTCCACAAAACGGCCGTTTGAGGGGAGGAGCGTTGCGTGACGACACTAAAAACGGCTGTGTAGCAGACTAGGAGTGCCAGGGGCGTCTTAAAAATCTCAAGGAGTTGAATCCAGGCGGTTTTTCTCTCTTCTCCTTGTCCCCTCCCCCATTGTTTACTTTATTAACCTGGCGCGTTTTCTCGTTTGACTTCGCGCGCGGGTGTCTCTCGAACACACAGAAAAACACACCAAAAAACTGGCAGCTACGCACGCTAATGTTAGGGTGGCAATGGAGCTGTTAACCCCTGCAGACAGTTAATAAACCACGAAAAAGACATAAAGTAAACATGCACAACCACTGTGATTTGCTAACGTGTCCTGCTGTTTGGTTAAGATTTTTTCTAGCGACTAGTTTCGTCATCTTTACACTCCATTCTTATAAAACGATTCAATTATTTGTCATTCATATAAATGACGGAAGGACTGCCAAAACATCTCTTGTTTTTAAAAGATATATACTTTAAATGTTAACAATTTGTCATCACATTTTTACTCAGTTTACAGCGCACGGACGAATTAAAACAGACATTGAAGTGGTTTGTTTAGAGTAAGGATTCCAAAAATATGACTTATCACGGTAAAAATTTAACAGACAAAAAGAAGGCGAAGTAATCCTTGCCAGTCTTTCTACACAGCTCCACTCCACGGTAAGAAACAAAGTAAAATCTCTTAATAAAAACAACCTGAATCGGTCTGGGGCCAGCGCTCGGAAAGATTTATTTGTGAAGCCAAATTAAAGAAGAATTTAGTGACTCGCCACTGTTAAATTATGCCCTAGCTTTTCGTCCATTTATTGTTATCAGACCCTCAGCCCACAAAGACTCTTCTTGTTGAGTCAGCATGGATATGACGTCACTCATAGTTGGACGCGCCTCTGGGGCTCTCGCGACGCATTGCATAATGAGCTCTCTCAGCACACCATTAGTTACGAGGCCTATCTGATCTTGGATCTGCTGCGGAACCGGAAGTTCTCTTGTACACATTTCGCAGAGCAGTACGCCAAAACTGTACACATCCACCTGCCGGCAAGAAAGAAAACAACCATCGAAAGGTTGAGAAAATAATTAACAACAAAACTCGAAACAAAGTAACAATCCATTAAATCCTAATACACGTAGCATGAAGTATGTATAGTAGGAATGTTTCTCTAAAGCAACCCTATTCACAGACAGGAGCTTGCTGTGCAATAGTCTAAAGTAATCTCGTAATACGCCTCCCTTGCAGACGTACTTGGGTCCTCGCCATGCTTTCCTTCCCTACAAACGACGTAACATTGCACTATCACTCTGTCGTCATAGATTTTTGCCCTGTTGCCCGCTCAGAGAATTTGGCGGCAAGCGGTTTGATTGTTAGATGCCACGTGACCTCGATGTAACCAATGAAAGCACGCGCTGTTCGGAAACAAAAGACCCTTCCACGGTTTTTTCAAGTTTTGATAAAGCGGACTAGTTAGCAAATATTCATTGACACTGCTGAAAAGAGGGTCCTAAAATTAGGATGCTTACCAAGTTTAAAGGTGATGTGTTAAAAACGAGCAAAGATGTTGTTCCAGAGAGTCGTTGAAGTTTATTGACGTTTGTATGGTTTGGTCAGGAACTTGCCTCCCACCACACAGACGGCTGTAAAATTTGGCGACTTTTCGGAGCTAAATCTTCGTTAGTTTTCAACAAATCACGTTTAAAATTGGCATCTTTACTAAATAAATTTTAAGGCATTCTTTTTAGCCGTGTTGCTGCGCCGGGATTTTCGACTACTAATCCCAGTCAAAAGTTAAAAAAAAAACCGTGGAAAGGTCCTGTTACATATACCGTAAACAAAGTACAACATTGCATGGCAAAATGTTTTTTTTTTCAAAAATGGTTGCAGTTTCCTTAAGGGTAGCACTTTTCCCTAGAGACAAGCCTGATTACATTTAAAAAAACCTAGAGTTCTCTGATTAATTAGGTACCCTACAAATGACTCTAGCGTTACTATGGTTTGTTTATTGTTAAACAGAAGATCATGTGACGTGTACATGTTGCAGTTAATTTTTTATTTCAGTTAATTTTTGTATTTTCTTTGTTTTAAATTCTTTAGGATACATCGCCATACCCAAAAACAATGAAAAAAATAAAAATTAACTGCAACATACACCTTACGCCCTTCATTACCAGGAAATAGAGATTCATTAGCGTCAAAATATCAGTCAATATTAATAATAAATGAGTAATCATTGCAGAAAAAGAAACAATCGTTTTAATTATTTGTGTGATCAATAAAGCATTTCACATATGTAAGAACATTCATTAATGCCAATATAGTTTCCACTCGGTGAAAATAACAATCCCTTAGAAGAAGGATAAAACATTTGCGTCATTTTAATGGTCTTTAACAAGAAAAGAAATTCATTAACAGTAAACATGTGTTGTTATTTATCCATCAAGTTCTTCTTGTTATTTTTTATTTATCCTGCTGCTCGCTGATTTTGTACATGAATTGACTGAGCATTGTACGCATACCGCGTTTGTTTGTGCAAGCACAGCCGCAGCAAATTACATACATGTACACGGTACAAGCTTAACAAAATGATTGCAAAGTACTATACAATATGGGTTTTTATAGGTATTTTGTAAAATTCGCACGAATTCAAACGTACCTCCAAATTCAATGCAATATTGGCAAGATAATGCTCATAAAAATAATGATTGTTACTGATATTCTATTCCCATAAACGAACATTCACCCAAGGAAACTTCATTCGCACTAAAGAATGTTCTCGATAAAACGCTGTAGAAATTGGCCTTAATGATTGTTCTTCTTGATGCAAAAATCTCAAGTGACTATGACACAAACTTAAATGTTTACTTCCTTGCTTAAACTGTTTTTACATTAATTAAAGTGAATAATAGCTTAATGTTAATAAAAATATATTTCGTGGTAATGAAGGGCAACTGAAAGGTGTAGTCGGAGTTTCTGCTCACCTTGGGTGACTGCTGAGAAGTCTGGGACTCAGGTGCGGCATATATACTGGCTCCCGGATTAGACGTCATGTGCTGGCGCATGAAATTTGCTGCCCCGTAATCTGACAACTTAGCTCTCCAGCAATTATCTCGTCTCCATAGTAACACGTTCGAACTACTGATGTCGCGATGAATGATAGGCGATGGCTTTTTGAGATGAAGATAATTGAGTCCTTTGGCGATATCTAAAGCGATACAAACCACTTCTTCGTGGAGTAACGAGCGCTGCCTTAAAACGTCTCGTAAATCAGTGTCGAGCAGCTCAGTTATGAATAACGGGCTGTCATCGTTATTGGTAGCGCCAATAAACTGTAGTAAATAAGGATGCCGACAGCGCGAAGCAATACTCATTTCTCGTTCGAACAATCTGCGGTTATGAGGAGAAAGAATCAGATCGTGAATCTGCTTAACAGCTACCTGGCAACCACGAAACGTTCCTTCGTACACGTTGCCCCAGGCTCCAACTCCCAAATTCTTTTCACTCAGCATAACCTCATCACGTCTGATGATCCAGTCACGTGGTTCAAGACGCCTATACTCGGCCAAGGCCTCCTGGGCTGCAGCGACCGCTGACTGCAACTCCCGTAGTCGGTGCTGGCTTTCCGACACTGTTCGTTCACTGTCGCGGATTCTTTGCTGGCAAATTTCTCGCTCTCTTTCCAGATTTTCTCGATCGTGCTGTAAATTAATTCTTTCCTCTCTCACTTCTCGTTCAGTTGCGATTCTTCTGTTTCTTTCCGCTTCAATTTGAATTTGCATATCTCTTACCCTCTCCTCTAAACCTGACTTGAGCTCGCGTTCCTGCTGTAAAAGGTGATTCTGCCTTCTAATTGTATCCCCCATAGTTCGAAGATTTCGTCGACTTGTCTCCCTGAACGAAAGTTCGTTTTCCAACCTTTCTTCTAACTCAGAAAGAGTGTCTCTTGCTTGACGAAGTTCCTCCTCAAGTCTAAGTCTTGCTTGCTGTTCGTCACCTAAGGTTTCCTGCAACTCCCGTCGTCGGTGCTCGCTTTCCGACACTGCTCGTTCACTGTCGCGAATACTTTGCTGGTAAATTTCTCGCTCTCTTTCCAGTTTTTCTCGATCCTGCTGAAAATTAATTCTTTCCTCACTCACTTCTCGTTCAGTTGCGATTCTTCTGTTTCTTTCCACTTCAATTTGAATTTGCAAATCTCTTACCCTCTCCTCTAAACCTGACTTGAGCTCGCGTTCTTGCTGTAAAAGTTGCGATTGCTCTCTAATTGTATCCTCTTTTGTTTGACCATCTTGTCGAGTTGTCTCCCTTAACAGACGTTCGTTTTCTAACCTTCTTTCTAACTCAGCGCAGGTCTCCCTTGCTTCACGTAGTTCGTCCTCAAGTCTAAGTATCGCTTGTTGTTCGTCAGCTAAGTTAGTTTCCTTTTCCCTCAGCTGCCGCTCTAGCCTGATTCTCAAGAATGTCTCTTTATCCAGCGCCCGGTTCACTTGCTCCAAATCGCTCCGAACCCTCAGCATACGCGAGTTTGCTTCACGCTCCTGTTCAATTTTTTTCTGAAGCTGCCTCAGTGAAGGACGTATTTGTTCTAACCCGTTATTTATCATATCTTCATTAACAGCTTGCTGGGTTAAAGTCTGATCCTTTTCATGCAACGCTGTTTCTAAAATACTGATCCTTTCCGAAAAACTGATCTCTGAATCTCTCATTCGCTCTAAAATTCTCTCCTTTTCCTCGGACAACATGTTTATGCAAAGATCTTTCCCTCCTATTAGCACCTCTCTTTCCTCGATAGCTAACAACAATCTTCCTTTCCTCTCTTTCCTCTTTGATTTCTTTTTAGGAATTTGTTCTTTGTTTTTTGAGTCCCTTTGCTCTTTATTTCCCCTTTTCCACCATTTTCGCCTACCACATGACTCCGCGTCATCCGTGTTTGCTTCATTCTTATCACTTGCATTCTCTACGCCAACTGAATCCTGTGATTGAAATTCTCCGTTTCCTTCGTTTTCTTCTGTCACGTTCTGAAATGAGCATCAAACACACAATGTATACTTAGTTATCAGCTTAAGACTGTTAAGAGAGCTAATGAGTTCAGTTACAAATTTGAAGATAGGGGACCTTATATCACCCAGGCAGTGGAAGCCATGGACGGCTGTTTCGTTCTTATTTTAGAATGCTGTGTCCCAGTACTAATTCCCTATGTTTTTTAACAAAATTATAAGCTGACAAAGATGTGATAACCAGCCACTCAATGCAATGAACTAAAATAGATAATAACTGGAGTACTTAATGGAATTCCCCCCTCCCCCCCACACACAGCCATTAGCATCTCGCGAGTACACTGAAAACTAATTAAAGCCACACCCTAAACTACCTACATCTCGCAAGCACATGAATAAAAGTTGTGTACATTGTGAGCTAATCAATGAGGCACCCACAGCTCCGTGGTTAGAGCGACCGACTGCTGGAATGTCCTGGGTTCGAATTCTGCTAGAATGTTCAAAATGTAACACTAGATAAAACAAGAATCGCCAAAAGGCGATTTTAACCGAGCTGCCAACTTTCCTGGGGGAGAAGGTGGCTGCACACACTCAGGCCACCAGGCTTGTCACTAACCATTGCGTGACATAGCATCTCATGTGAGAGTTAAACATTTACTCATTTGAACATTGGAAGACTTTCGTAACAAGAAAAAAGAGTACCATTTTTAAGTCGGGGCTGTATAGTACCTTTTCAAATTCCACCATGATGATTTAAAATAAGCAAGCATGAAACAATAAGCGTTATTTTCACGCACCCGTCCCCCAATCCCTCTGCCCCCAAAATATAGTGTGACTAATTTGACTTAACCGCAAATAAAACAACAAAGCAAATTAATTTAAGTTTTGTTTTTGTCTGATATTGCGTTATAAGGCCTTTCTTACTGTCCTAGTGAATATATATATATATGACTTGGTGGTCTACAATGAGCAAATTTCCCAGGACTATCCTTTCCTGCAAGGAATGACCTTTCACACGCAAAGTAACAATCGCAATAAGATAAAAGTAGACATAGGCCGTCACATTTTAAACGATTTAAACCTCAACATAAAGAGAAGAGAAAATTTAAAAGCGACCTATCCTGTCATCTTTTGAAAATGGCACTGATAAAAAGTGTCCATGATAGCTTGAAAAACGTCTTTAATCAATGGATGTGCACACACACACTCTAGCCACAAACACAGAGAGATTTGCAATCACGTTTTGGAAAACCCCAAAAGGTAATCATCGTAGCATCTTTTGTAGGAGACAATGAAAAAGCGTAGTATGCTAGCTTCAAACACATCTTCATTGAATGGCTGCCTTCACTTAACATCGGTAAGTACTTCATGTCAAACCATCATAACATCGAAGGTTGTCCTTTTTCACGACATAAATCCACAGGGGGGTAATCTTACATTAACCTTATAGACATTGCTCTGAAATAGTGTAAAGATTAGATGACACGGACGGTGCGCTCCCAGCCTACGACTTCCCAGAAATACCACCCCCCCCCCGACAAAAAAATGAAACCCGTTTTATAAAATGGGCTGCACCACAGGCAGCCCAGTTAACTACTGTGCAATAACAATCAGGAGATAGCCTGCGGCGAAGGCGTAATCGAACCTCGGTTAGTAAACAGGACATTGTTGTCCGCCATTTGGAACTTGAACGTTTTCATTTAAGACCGGACCCGAGAGACGTAGTTGACTTCAAATGTACTCGGTTTCAGTTTTCCACGCCAATTCACCAAACCCGCCCGATCCAAAATAATCCACCTTAGAGAGCGGTTTCAATAATTGGCGGTTTCGGTGTGCAGATTCATATTCACCGGTTCCAAGTGGACGGAAGGCCGATTCGTACACGTGTTAAAGAGTATGCGGCTTTAAAAGTATCCGGATTTGTGTGGACGGGGCCATTGTTATGATTACACGAATCCACGATAACAGATACTGGTATCGTGATCCGATATTCTGATTGGTCAGAATGACTGTTGACAAGTGAGCGAAGAGCGCTGTGTCACTGTCTTGTGTCCGTAAGTCCGTAAACTTGCACAAGAAGCCCACTATCTTGGTCTTTGACGCAACAGATGCACCTTGATTCTCAAGAGAACAATCGGAAACTCGTGATCACTTCAGGGATATCAGATGGACCTTCAACTCAAGAACTGGGCAAGACTTACCACCAGTCGAATGTGGGAGTAGGGTATGTTAGAGTATGGATTTGAGTTCGAGTTGGACTTCGAGTTAGACTTCGAGTCACAAAGTTCGAGTTAAAGTTCGAGTTACTAGTAAATTTCATTTCATTTTACATTATGTAAAAAATGAAAAAAATGAAATGACATGATTATTCAACGTCGTTTCCAGGGCTTTTCCCTTAAAACTTTTTCCCAGTTGATTATTATTAATTTGATTTATTCAATTGAAATTTTCGTCGAACCTACTGTTAGAGTCTTCGAAGCCATTTTTATCCGTTATGGTGTGAACACCTACAGCTGTCTGCGATATGTGAGTCTTCATCAACTATTTACAGAGAACAATGCAGCAGTAAGCCAGTAACTCCAAAGAAATAGGAGCGAAAATCAAGATGAAAGAATATTTTACACTGCATCTCACTTAGCAGCCGGACGATTTCTAGATTACACGGCTTAATTGGTCACGGTTGGGCTCGTTCCCTCGAAAACCACACCCGATTCTAGTTCAAGACCGAAGGCCCAAAAACCCTACCCTTTGGGGTGGAATATGCCTATATGGCTTATATAAGGGAGTACGCCCCGGGAATAGAATAGCATAGTTCTTCATTTAAATATACTGTCAGGAGCCCATTATACGGTAAAATTCTTCAGGAGTATAAAAAGTATTTAAAAAGACCTAACTACGCTAAAAAATATGCAAGAAACTAACTACAACCTACCTAACTAAGACCTGCTTTTCATGAATGCCGTATACACAGTACCCAAGAATCAGAAATTCTGATGAGCCGATCGTTTAGATTGACTTAAAGATTTAGCCTCCCTCATGTCACAGGTAAGGAAGGCTGTTCCAGAGAACTGCTCCGCTATAACTGAAGCTATTCTTCATGAAGTTAGTTCGCGGGACCGGGACAATTAGTTAATTAACAGAGTCCCTCGGGGAGTAGCGCGTTTCAAATCGTTTAACAAGTTTAATGGATACAAGATCATTTAAAGACTTGTATTTAGGCTTTTTGTATTTGAAACTGAGTGCTCAACTCTTTCCAATTAATTAAGTTGTCTAATTAAGCGGTTCTGAAGCGTCTGTAGCCTGTCAAATAAAGTTTTACCACAATTACCCCAGACAAGATTACAATAATCGGATTGAGATCGAATTAGGTTGTTCTATGTACAATGGAGAATAGGTGTTAAAACAAAATCTCTAATTGTTTTAGGGCCTGTTTACATGGAGGTGGGGGGACCCAGGCAAGTGAGGTAAAATATGGCGGGTTACCCCACCTATCATGTAAACGTGATCAAATTAAAATGAGAGATTATATGGAGAAAGGGCTTACCCTACCTAAGCGGGTTACCTCACCTACCTGGGGTCCCCCACCTCCATGTCAACAAGCCCTTAATTGCTCGTATCTTGGATAAGATAGTACGCGTGCTCTGATTGGCTGAGAGGAGTGTTTGCATGAGAGTATGTAAACATGGTTGTGGCGTCAAGATGTTTTGCTTTTCGCCCTCTAATCACGCAAGCACGAATTTGAAAAAGTTTTCAAGTTCAAAACTCGACCAGGCCTATTTTTTTTTAGAGAAAAGGGATGGGCCGAAAGAGAATTTCACGATGATTGGGGGTGGGTTATTGTGTGTTTTGTAAAGAATCTCACTTGCTACAATTCATGTGGAAGATCTAAATAAATTCTAATGCAATGCTGGACATAAAATATAACACAACTGGATGTCACATTTAGCAATCCAACTTAAGTATGGAGAATCAAAGATGTGGGCACTAAATATCAATAAATAAACATAAGCCCTATTGAGAAGGCTTGCAAATATAACTGTCTGGGAATTTTTACTACCTGAAGCGTGAACAGATAGAAATCATTATTAGTTTCAATAATGGATTATTGAATTCATTATTCAATTAAGTGAAATCAAATTTTTCCAATTTTCAAATCAAAAACAGTTTGAAAATTCGCTTTTCAATTGAATTACTATTTTTTGTTTTATAATGACTTCAATAAAAAAGCAAATTTCTTTAAACTGGTTTTGATTTGAATATTGCGAAACTTATTTTTTCAATAATCGATTAATGAAATCAACAAGCGTCAGTGTTGGTGAGGACAGTGATGGGAGTGACAGTGACAATGACCTTGTTTTGTGTGATGAAAGTGAAAGCGAAAGTGAATCAGATGATGACAGTCATACTGTAACAATGCAAGAAGGCACATCAACAAGAAGTGGCCGCAGAGTAGGACACTGGTCCACAAGATATGCTGATTTCGTTCAGTGAACAGGAACTCCTTATAGAGGTATAGATTGAAGGGGGTTGGGGGTGGGTCACCTCTTATATAAAGTTATATGGGGGTGGGTCAAGAATTAACTAATGGGCTTAAAGGGGTGGGTCAC